TCAACCATTGGTTCTTATTATCCAGCCTTGAGGTGTCCCCCTGGGCAGCAGGGTTGGGAGCTTGCCCTGCTACAGTGTTCCAGTCAGGGACTGGTATTGGACTTGCCTTGCCTCTCTCCTCAAGACTCCTAGAAGCGGAAACAGCCAAGGGATTCTGCTCACTGCCCCCACCCATAGCACCAGCTTTGCAGCTCTCATGACCATGACCTGCCGCCAGTGGGAACTCACTGGGTGGTGCCTATGGACAGGGCAGGGCACAGAGCCCGATGGCCCCGTTCCCACGTGGGAGCTGGAAGCAGGTTAGGCTACTGCTTCCAGGAGCCACTTCAGGTAAGTGCTGCCCAGATCCTGCACCCTTGACACTTCCCTCAGCACCGCAACCTCCTAGCCCGGCCCTGTTTCCCTTCCTGCTCTCCAAACCATTCAATCCCAGTCTGGTGTACCCTTCTGCACCCCAAATCCTCATCCCACTCTCCATCCCAGAGCCTGCACCCCCAGTCAGATGCCTTCCCCCACCTTCCCTGCCTGAGCCCTGATCTCCCTCCTGCCTCCCAAAACCTTCCATCCCATCCTGGAGCACCCCCCTGCACCCCAATCACCTCATCCGTAGTCCCACGCCCAAGCTTGCACTCCCAGCTGGAGCCCTCACCCCGCATAAGCCCCAAACCGCTGCCTCAGCTGAGACCCCCTTCCTGCCTTCTAAACCCCTTAGTCCTAGCCTGAAGATCCCTCCCACACCCTGAACTAAGCATTTCTGGCGCCACCCGGAGCTTGTGCCCCCAACCAGAGCTCTGTCACTTACACACCTCAACTCCCAATTTGTGAGCATTCATGGCCCTCCATACAGTTTCCATACTGAGAGGTGGCCGGTAAGCCAGTAAATTGGCTCACCCCTAGCAGGGATTCTCAAGTTTTTACCCCCTTCTGCACTGCGATCCCCCTGCTGACACAAAAATGATCATGTGACCCCAGGAGTGGGGTCTGAAGCCTGAGTCCCTCCAGTTTGGTTGTCGGGGAGCTTGGGCTTTCACTTCCCCCGGGATCCAGGAAATCTAATGCCAGCCCTAGTGATCCCCTTAAAACAGGGTAGCAAGCCTCTTTGGGATCCAGTTTGCAAACTGCTGCATTATAGCCTGAGAACCCAGAAGTTAAACTTTATTGTCTTTTAATTATTGTCCAAGCTGAAAGAGCTGCATAAAGTGGACAGGCAGCATAAATAACACATGTTAATTTTTTAAGATGAAGAGCGGAACTGAAGTTCCCTTAAAGAAGGTGGAATATTTCTGTATATACCTTCAGTTTATGAAATGTAGAACTTGCAAAAAATGAAGATATACGACAAATAATAACAAACTACTGCTCAAAAACTCTTGGCCTCCTGGGTAAGGCATGCAAAACCTTCATGAGAGCAGCATTACTGCAGGGATGTCACTAATCAGGTCCTCCAGGGATCATTTCAGGGACTTCCAGCAAAGTGTGAAATGAGAATTGCTGATGTTTTTTATTGTTAAAATACAATGTTTGAGGCCATTCTAAAGGAGAAAGGGTTAGTATACAGGGAACAGTAATATTTTGGTTTTGCTTTGAAGTTGCCTTATCATTTCTTAGCATTTTTTAAAGATCTGTGCAGATATTAATGGTGTGGTGATCTCTCTGAACTGCTATATTTTTCGTCTTTCTGACTTCCTGAATTACATTAATAATAGCAAATGCTGTTGAATAAAATTGCTGTGATTTTTTTAAAAAAATTGGGGTACACTGTTAAACTAAATTCTGCATGTTGAGGAGTGAAAACATCCAGGAACTTTACTTCTTTCATAGAATCATAGGACTAGGACTGGAAGGGAACTCGAGAAGTCATTGAGTCCAGTCCCCTGCTCTTATGGCAGGATTCAGTACAGTCTCTAGACCATCCCTTCAGATTTCTATTAACTGTTGGTTTTTCCTTCTTTATAGTTGAATATACTAAGCTGATATTGATTATTCTGGCCTTATTGTTGTATCTGGCATTAAAATTTAAGAGCAAACAGAAAATTCCTCAGAGAAATCACTACAAATTTTCCAGAATTGCTGCTAATTTGTGTTTTCCCTGTCCATCTTCAGTTGACAGAATGTATTAACTTGATCAGTTATTTTGTATTTTTTGTCCTATAGTCAATTAAATGAGAAACCATTGCCAGAGGGTTGGGAAATGAGATTTACTGTCCCGCACTGGAAAATCTGCTCTGTAAGCCTTTTTTCAAGATGACAAACTATATTACACTGAGCTTTTTATATATACTTTGCGTGACAGGGATTGCCAAGTATGGGTTTTTTGCAGAAGGTTTTGACATACCAGTAGTACTTTTAATTTCCCATTATTTCCTCCTCTGAGGATCATCGGCGTCTTTGAATGTTCTCTTCCCTCTACATGTGACATTTTGAATGCTTTACAATCTTATAATTGAGGTCCCTGTGGTCGTGGTGACTTTTCCAGCCAAATACGGGATACGGCTCTAGTCTCTTACTATGCCACTCTATCAATAAAAGCTACTGTGCTAATGCCATGTTCTCCCTTCTCCTTCCATGTGTTTTAGTGTGCAGGTTGATGCCAGTGCACTCCTTTAATATATTCTAGCATCCTGAGAACTAGTCTTTGGATATTTGCAGAATTGACATGCTAACTCACATCAGGTTGGGTGGAAGTAGATTGGCATTTAATGTATTGAAAAATTGCACGTGAACCCAGAATCTTTCTAAGAAGAGCATTTTGCATGTTAAAAATAAATTTAAAGTAGTTACTCTTTAAAGATATTTTAAAAACAAAACAAAAAAATTAAGGCCCTTTTAGAAGCATTCGCCAAATTAGAAAACTGGTTTGTTTAACCATCCAGGTAAAGCAGATAGTTTCATAACAATAGTAATTTTGAGCTCTGTTACCTTGAATTTTCAGCAGTGTTTCAACAGTTTGTTTTTCTTCCTGTTTCCAGAGACAATGGACCCCAGATTGCTTATGTGCGTGACTTCAAAGCGAAGGTCCAGTATTTCCGGTTCTGGTGTCAGGTAAAAAATGCTATTTAATCTTGGAAATGGCTTTGTGGAAATGCATTCTCAAAAGCTGCATCCAGGCATCTCCAGTTGGAACTAGGGATGTGAACAGTCACCTTACCTGGAGATGCTTACCAGTTATGGTTAACTGGCAAGGGACAGCCCCACAAGGTCTACACAAGGGTGGGGTGAGGCTCTCCACCCTGGCTGGAGCAGCCTCCACCTGTGGTGGGTCCAGCCCAGATGTACCATGGGTTGGGGTGCTCCAGCCCAATGATATTAAAAGCAGATTATTATTTGTATTGACGTAAGCCCCATTGTCCTATCTGTTGTACAGTGAACAAAATGACAATCTTTGGTCTTGGGAATAAATGAAAACTGAAAACATTATTTTTTATTTTGTTTCATACAGGCCAGACAGATTCACCCGCCCTTTTTATAATTTCTGTGAATTTTGTTTGAATTTTTATTGAAAACACTTGTCAAAAGTGAAGTCAATATACATTTTAAATATTTTGCATTTCAGCAACTGGCCATGCCACAACACATTAAGATTACTGTGTCCAGAAAGACATTGTTTGAGGACTCATTTCAGCAGGTATTGTATTGTTAACACATACTTGCTTACTTTGTGAACAAAGTGACACAGGGGAAATTGTTTGAACTTTGTAGCTAAAAGACAACATCACCCTTCATCTTTTGATACCCCATTAATGATGACTAAAGTGATGATTTAAAAAAAAGTATTTGTGCTATGTCTGGAGCAGATTCATAATTAGATACACAGCGCAATGTTAAAAATGCATCATACCACTGATAGCTCTCCTTGTTGCTTTGATCTCACAAGAACATGTATCATTCCCTGGTGTTTAGTTATTCAGATTTGCTGTGCAGAAAACCACACATTCTTCTTCGAGTGGTGTCTTTGTGGGTGCTCCACTCTAGGTGTGGATGCATCCTGGAGATTTTTTGCAGCAGTGCTTGATTGAGTCGCCATGCGCAATAGCAGTCACAAAGTTTTACTGCCTAACATATCACATGTGTGGCCCAAGCCCCTCAGTTCCTTCTGTCATCCTCGGCTATAGACAGAGCTCCATAACAGTGCTCTTCTTCTTGAATCTCCAAAAAACAAAATAGTAGTTATAATTTTAGAATAGTTACCTCACCTGTAGCTGGCACTCCTGGGCCTGTTGTTTGAGTGGTGGTGGTTTTTTATTTTTCAACAAAAAAAAAAGCCACAATGTTTGAGGTCCCTCCCCTTTTTGTCCTTTAACTTCATAGTTGCAGCTAGGAATAATCTTTTTTTATCTTCCATACTCGGCAGTCACTCCTGCCCCATGACTAAAAATTCCTGATGGACAGCATGCTGGGCTCCCGAGGCTTTAAGAAGTGTGACTCCTGTCATAGAATCCCAGGGCTGGCAGAGACCTCAGGAGTCATCGAGTCCAGCCCCCTGCCCAAAGCAGGACCAACCCCAACTAAACCATCCCAGCCAGGGCTTTGTCAAGCCAGGACTTAAACACCTCTAGGGATGGAGATTCCACCAGCTCCCTAGGGAACCCAGCCCAGTGCTTCACCACCCTCCTAGGGAAACAGTGTTTCCTAATATCCAACCTAGCCCTCCCCCACTGCAACTTGAGCCCTTTGCTCCTTGTTCTGTCATCTGTCACCACTGAGAACAGCCTCTGGGACAGATTTATACATTCCCATTTAAAACATTCTTGTATTTCTTTCTGTATCACTTCATTTTAGACCTTTCATCTTCTAATCTGCTAGACAGAAATATGTTTCTGCCAAGCCCTCAAACATTTCCTGAAATACCACTTTATGCACTCCACCTAGTGCATTTCATGGCCAATGAAAATGTGATTTCCACACTATTGAATAGCAAATAGTAATGCTGGGATGGGCTGTTTTTTCTTCATAACAGTGTTTTTTCTTTCACTAAGATAATGAGCTTCAGTCCCCAGGATTTGCGAAGACGCTTGTGGGTCATTTTCCCTGGAGAAGAAGGTTTAGATTATGGAGGTGTTGCAAGGTAAGATAAAGAAATCTGTGTGTCACATAACAAATTAATCTGAATACCTCATTTTCTACAAATATTTGGTATGAAAGTTTCACGGGGAGATCTTTTATTTGCTGACTTTTTAAAATGCCAATGAGTGTTTCCCCTCTCTTTATAACATCACTTCTGCAATCCTAAAATGTATTATCAAAACTAATCTAAGAGGATGTGTTGCTATGTGAATGTACATTAAGTTTAAGATGCCTCAGTCAAGTGTAGAACAAGCATTTATGCAGCTCTTCTCAATAACTCATAAGATGAAACCATGAACAGAAGATTAGAGATTTATTGAAATAATGAGTAAGAAAGCGTTTAGTAGGTATACTCAAATTTTGTTCCCTGTTCAAGTACTTAAAATGCATATGCACACCCTTCCTGCAGACTTGTTTTTGCTATACTTACTTTTTTTTTGTATTCAGTATTGTGAATTAATCTTATTTAGTGATGTAAAAAATGCAAGATGACGATATTGTGAGGGGAGAATCAGTAGTATATTTCATGCAGTTCACTTTTTAGCCTTGGGATTATACTTAAATTTCATCTTATAAATAAATATCAAACATACATGTGTGCTACTAGGAAATTCTAATTTGTATTTAGTCTTAACCTTAAAAAGCAAATTCTTAAACTTTCACTGTGTGCAAAGAATTGTAACCAAAAAGTATAATATGGGTACCTCTTCCATAAAAGATAGAGATCAATTCTGAGTTCATATATTTTTGAAAATTTTTCACTATCAGAGTTTGTGCTTCTCTTAGAAAAGCAGCCCTCGTAAATACCTACCACAGAGAAAAGAAATTAACTTTCTAAATGAAAAATTGCTTGATCAATCTTAGCAACGCTGTACGTTAGACAGTCTCCTTTTCTGAGCTATGTCATCTAACCATGTAGCATACTGACACCTAGTGTGTATGAGCTGTAAGTAGCTGCTTAATTTTCTGGGTAGGCCAGTTTTAACAGTTGAGCACCAGCCAGTCCCTAAAATAATTTTTAGCCTATATAGTAGCAATGTACTTTCTAATGTAATCCCATTTTCAACCTGAAGCATTCATGGTTGTTTTGTTTTGTGTGGTTTCAGGGAATGGTTCTTTCTGTTGTCACATGAAGTGTTGAACCCAATGTATTGCCTGTTTGAATATGCAGGAAAGGATAACTACTGCTTACAGATAAACCCAGCTTCTTATATTAACCCAGACCATCTGAAATACTTCCGTTTTATTGGCAGATTCATTGCTATGGTAAGTTCAGATTAATAGTTTTGTTCACATCCACCAGAATGTGTTTATTTTTAAATGGACACAGCAGCTGTTTCAAATCAAGAGATGAACTGTTTAGTGCTGCATTGCCAGATGGGTGGCTGTATCAGCTCCTGTATTTAGATCACATTTTGAGGTGTACCAGTAATAGTGATGGTATTACAGAATGTCTCTCAACATCTTTGGGCTCCAGGCTTCATTTGATACGTTATATTGAAATGTTAGGTAATCAAGCATTCTTTGGATCATTCCTTGTCTGTTTTCATGTTTTTTAGGCTTTGTTTCATGTGAGATTCATAGACACAGGTTTCTCTCTGCCATTCTATAAGCGTATGCTAAACAAGCCAACAGGACTCAAGGATTTAGAATCTGTTGATCCAGAATTTTACAACTCTCTCATCTGGGTAAAGTGAGTTTCTAACTCTTTCACTCATTCTTGAAATTCAAATTCAGCTGTTTTGATGTTTCATTGTATTTGTGTAATTCAGGGGTAAATGTGAAATGTTTTGCAGATAGATATTGAATAACAGACCTGTATAAATTGCAGGCCAGAACTGAACTTCTTTGCGTTTTACTATAATTCCAACGTCCACGTTCTGTAGTTTGGTAATGCTAATATTAACTGTTCTCAGTAGTTCACTGGAGATTACATAAACTACATTCTGTTTCTGCTTGTTTTCCCTTTCAATTAACATAACTAAATGTGAGCAGTCTGCGTGGTTGGAAAAATAGAACTGTCTGAATAGATAATCAAATACTGGTTCCCTAATGGTAGTGTCAATAAAAAATCTTTAATGTAAGGTAATATAAAAGTCACTGGAGACTAATACCCAATCCCAGTGTTACTTTCTTCTTTAAAAAAATTATTTACTTATGGAAAAACAAAACAAAAAATAGACAAAGTACAGCATTAGGATGTCTGGCATGATGGAGCTCAGCTTATGCCTCGCTTCCATTTAACCCTTCATCAGTCACCCCATCCAAATTCAACTTGGTCACCTAAAATTTGTTTAAAATGTTATATGGTGAAAAAATGTATTTCTAAAGCACTTTATACGTTTAAGTTGATGAAAATCTCTGCCTTTTCCTATCCTTGACTCCTCAACTTCTCTGCACCATCTCCCTTGACCCCAAGACCTTTCATCTCTTCTCTCTCCCATCTGTGCCCACTCAATATCCTTTTCATTCTTTGTGCAGCCTTTCTTCATAGCTTCCCCCACCTTGAAGGGCCTTCTCCCCTGCACGGGAAACAAAATACATTTGGGATTTGTCAGCCTAGGTCACCGTGGAAAGTTGTGTAAAAACAAGTTCTAAAACTTGAAAACATAACTCTTAAAAACAATATAGAATTGTAGTTATTATTTATAAAGCACCTGCATTGCTGGAGCACTCAAGATGCTTTATTTTATAATAAAATAATATCAAGAACATAATTTCAAAACACCTTATAAACTTAACAAATAAAAACAGGGGAGTCCCTTTAAAAAGGAGGACATGGAAACTGGGAGTAAGAAACAATAATTGCAAGTCTAGTAACAGTCAATCTTAAAAGTTTGGAATAATAAATAATAATAATAAAAAATCCCACAGTATTTAGTTCTTCATGAGTGCAGTGGACTGGAGTAGAAGACCTCTTGAAGTTCTTTCCAGTCCTCTGTTCTTATGATTGTATGACATTGAGATGCATTTAAAACTGGTTAAAAATTGAAGCAAAATGCAGGACAATGTAGCACTTTAAAGACTAGCAAGATGGTTTATTAGGTGATGAGCTTTCGTGGGCCAGACCCACTTCCTCAGATCAAATAGTGGAAGAAAATTGTCACAACCATATATGCCAAAGGATACAATTAAAAAAAATGAACACATATGAATCAATTAAAAATTGATTGTGACCAGTTTCAGAAAGATGTCTGTCCACATCTGCAGACTCACTGCAGAAAGGACCAGGGAGACCTAGCAAATTAAGATTGAATGAAGGGAACCTTAGCTAGTGATTGGGATTTAAGCAAAGGTACCCATAAAACTTACTTAGAAAGTAAATATAATTAGCATACACATGTATGGGCTTTAAAAGCAAAAGTTCCATTATAAAATCACCTTGCTATATCTTCTTCAGTTAAGTTGAGAGGGTGGAATACAAGGATGCATTTTTTTTTCCCCAGTACAATCACATTAACTCCAGACATCAAGCTAAAATGATACTACATTCTGCACAAGATGAAAATGGCAGAAGAGCTCTACTGGGAGACCTATAAAGGGAAACTACAATGCACAATCCTTGTAGTCATGAAAGAGCATGTTGCTGATGCATAGTCTTCCAGCTGAATTACAGTGCAATCTGCACACTTTGTGCAAGTAGAAAATGTACTTGCAACATCAGACACACAGCTTTTTGAAAGCCTGTAGTCAAAAGTGATTCTTAACTTGAATCATAAACTCCAAAAAAGTTTGCTTAATACGACTTTTGATGGAAACCTCATCAAGTTGACACAAGATCTCTTTACATTTTGTTACAATACATGCTGTTGTTTCTTGCAGAGAAAATAACATTGAAGAATGTGGCTTGGAAATGTATTTCTCAGTTGATAATGAAATTCTAGGTGAAATAAAGAGCCATGATTTGAAACCTAATGGTAGCAACGTTCTGGTCACAGAAGAAAACAAAGAGGAATATATTAGGTAAGTGCAAATGAGGGTGGTTGTTTTTTAACTGCTCCTTTGCCTCCACT